CTTTTTGTCAAATTTGATTTGACGTCTTATTCTGTAAAATATTGAAACACCCCCAAAGTCAAATTTACAGAAGCAGATGTGCTCAAACAAGCCCAGCTTCTAAGTCTGCGGAAAGACTGCGTAGTGAGTGAGCATCTCTCTGTGAGACTGTCCCCATTACGGCCTCCCTCACCCCCAGCCTGGCCCCGCCCTCAGGACAGCTCCTCTGCCCTCCTCCCTCTTCTTGCTGGTCCCCACACTGGTGTGCAGCAACTTCCTCTCATTCCTTTGTCGATCTGATCTCTTTTCCCACCCAAATAAGTGGTCATAGTTCTTCAGGCTCAGGCCCAATGTCATCCCCCCTCAAGTTTCCCAGTGTTTCCCAGAAAGAATTGACTTTCTTCCCTCTGGGTGCTAAGAGCGTCACCGTGATGTGGGTGCCCGCGAGCTGTCTGCCTCCTGGACTGGGCTGCCCAGCTCTCTGAGCAGAGGGGAGACTCTCGGAGAAGCATTTGCACACAGTAAGTGCTTAGACCTGACGACCTGATGGAGGACTTGCAGTGTGGAATTACCGTGGAGGCTGTAGGTCCTGCAGAAGGGATCTCCCTTAGTTCTGGGACCTGAGAAGCTTTCATTGTCTGCAACCCCTCCAAGCTCATGGGCCATTGCCCCAACCACAGCTCAATTCCCTTGAGCCCTTCTCCTGCGCCTGTACCTCCTCCTCTGGACTCCAGGACGTGGGCAGTGCTGGCTGAGTGGGAGAGGGGAGGACACCTGTGCTGAGGGGTTTAGGGGAACCCCGTGTATGAGCCCAGCCACCACCAAGAGCAGAAGTGAGACCAAAGAAAGAGGACAGAAGCGCCGTCTTGGGCAGAAGCAACATGATGGGTGCCCATGCCAGAAAGACTGGCGAAAAGAGGCTTTATGGGAAAAAGGTGGCCTGTGGCTAGATGGAGTGCACCTGGACTTTCTCAAGAACTGTGAAAGTTTGTCTTGGTTTTCCATCACCTGTTTTTGGGAACCGATGAGAGAAGTGCAAGATAGTGAATCATCAGGAGTAGAACCGTAGTCATTGAAAAATGTTGGCAGGCTATGGAAATCTTACGCGGGAACTTTTCCTTTAAACATTAGATTGCATATTTTTGTGCCAATAAACATGTCTCACTCTGGGAAACAAAAAGAACCTAAATGAGAGATCTCTGCGAGTGAGATCCCAGTGGAAAGAACAGGGCCATCAAAGAAGGAGGTACCTTTCTCTGAAGGAAGGAGAGAACTTCTACTTTGACTATGACCCTGTCGGAATAATAACGAAGTCAGTGAACCCAAAGGCTTCCATAGCCTTGGCAACTCATGACTAGAGCCTAGGGAGATTACTGACGCCATAAACAAGAGTGTCAAATTGTTAAGTCAACAACAGGAGTCACTGTGCACTTACTTCTCATGTAGGATCTGTCCTTAATGTGTTGTCCAATGTGAAGTAATGCTATAATTAGTACTGAAACAGTATTTTTACACTTTGTGTTTCTGTGTGGGTGCAAACTGATGAAATCTGTACTTAATATATACTAAATCCATCTTCTGTATATAAGGAGAATTGAAAATGAATCTTGATGTGAATGGAATGGGAGAGGGAGCGGGAGATGGGAGGGGTGCGAGTGGGAGGGAAATCATGGTGGGGGGAAGCCAATGTAATCCATAAACTGTACTTTGGAAATTTATATTTACTAAATAAAAAAAAGAAAGAAAAAAATAAATAAATATGTCTCAAAATGATTAGTTTTTGTAAAAAAATTTATTTACTTTTTTAAAAGGCAGAGAGAAAGAGAGAGAGAGAGAGAGAGAGAGAGAGAGAGAGAGAGATCTTCCCTATGATAGCTTACTTACCAAATGGCTACAATGTTCAGGGCTGGGCCAGGCTGAAACCAGGAGCCTGGAGCTTCATTTGGGCCTCCCACATGGGTGCAGGGGCTCAAGCACTTGGACCATCTTCTGCTGCTTTCCCAGGCCACAGCAGGGAACTGGTTGTCCATATGGGATCCTGGTGTCTCAGCAGTGGCTTAATCCACTGTGCCACAACACCAGCCCCTATATTTACTTCCTCACATTAGTATATTCACATTTCATAATCAAACCAATAGGTAATTGGCATACATTCTCATGGTCCACATGGCTAAGATTAGAACTTTCATACAAAAATTAATGTTCTTAATTTTACATTTCAGGCTCTTGATAAAATAGTGTCACATTGTCTTTCAGAAAAGTGACATCATTTTTAATCTTACTATAAGTATATATTCCACTGTCCTCTGCCTAAGCTAGGTCTTAATAGTGACAAGTATTTGGCTAGTGTTTCAACCTGTGAAATGACATGTTTGTAAATTGTTTTCAATTCTTAAATCAATTCTGTATCTCTATTATTTTTCAATAATTGCCTAGAGGTTTAGCCAGGGAAGGTTATTGCAGCATTTTGTTTTTGTTACAGTAATTAACTGGAGACAGGTGTTTTTTTTTTTAAGATTTGTTTATTTATTTAAAAAGGCAGAGTTACAGAGATGCAGAGACAGAGAGAGAGGTCTTCCATCCCCTGGTTAACTTCCCCAGATGACTGCCATAGCCAGAGCTGAGCCAATTGCAGCCAGGAGCCAGGATGGCTGCAGGGGCCCAAGCACTTGGGCCATCTTCTACTGCTTTCCCAGGCCACAGCAGAGAGCTGGATGGGAAGTGGAGCTGCCGGGACTCAAACCAGCATCCATATGGGATGCCAGCACTGCGGTGGGCGGCTTTGCCCGCTACGCCACAGCGCCAGCCCCTGGCGACAGTCTTTCACTTCATGAACAGATGAGGACGGATTACCTACAGTGTGATACAGTCACGCTGCCACCAACGCCAGGCAGAGTTGAAAAGAAGTAAATCCGTTCTTGGAGGATGTTCAGGACGTACTGTTCTGATTTACAAGCCAGGGACAGCGGAGCCTGTAGCTGTATTTTCAAAAATGAGCATCGTGCTGCGGAGGGTAGCTCGCTTGGCGCACGGGAGGGCGCGGCTGGAGCGCAGCTAGTCGCCCTGGCTTGCGCGCAGCTAGTCCCGCTGTCTCTCAATTCCTGTAACCTGCCACTCTTGCCTTGGGGCAGCGGCACCCAACACCACAGAGTCAAGGTCGCGTGGGCGGGCGGAGAGCCGTGGTGCGCCCAGGAAGCTGGCAGTGCAGGCCTGAGAATATGAAAAAGCAGTTAGAATATACAGGCATGTCTGTAGCTCAGAGAGAACAAAAGGACTGTTTCGTGTCATGACTGCTCGTCGGCTTCCTCTTCATGAACTTCCCTGTGCCATTCTGTGCATAGGACGAAGCAGAACCAAGGCCATGCAAGTGACCACACTATTTGGCATCATCAATATGATCTTCAAAGAACATCTAAAAAGGAATTTTGAAGGGAAAAAAGATAACTTTAACCAAAAAGTACCCTTTGTAGTTTATTTTTCAACTATCTGATTGTTATGAACTACAATGACTCTTCTCTCTGGTGTTCCCTTGAGACCACACATTTAAGTTCAATGAATAAAACTGCTGTCCCTCAGGAAGTGCAGGGCTCAAAAGAGACTCAAGAAAGAGACTACTTAGAAAGTGTGTGTTTTCCCCATTCACATTTAGACCACTTTTATCAGGATGTATAAGCATGGAAAAATAAACATTTTTCATGTCATTAATTTAATAATATTAAACAGCAGAAGTGGTGAAAATAGCCAATGGTGGTGGGGATAAAACCTGTGCAAGGCTGAAAGAGCTAAAAATAAACTCCAAACATATTCTGGACAGCTAAACCCAAACATTCCCACTAAGTTATTGTCCTTGAAAAAGGCAGGAAAATAAAAAAGATAACAAATTAGTGCCAAAAAGCCACCACTGATTAACCATGAAGGCATTTGGAAAATGGAAATGTGGAAAAATGCAAAAGGCTGCTTTAAACAGGACAGCGAAATCACTTTTGAATCTGACTTGGAGAACAGCTTTAAGGCTTTCTGTTATGCACACCGTGGTCTGGGCCACCGTGCAGGTGCTGGACTCTGGCCTCTGGATTGGACAGAGGCGTCCCAAGGAGCAACTCCACTGGCCACTCGCTGGGCAGCCTCCGCACCCCTTAACACCAGAGCCCTGTTAGCTCTGAGCACTCAGGGTAGGACAGGGCAGGTCGAGTTGTCCTGCAGGGGACTGAGCTTCTCACTTGCTGCCCCTCCAATTACTGAAAACAAACAAACAAACAAACAAACAAAAAAACTGCTCAAAAAGACGCGAGCAGAAAATCAGTAAAAGAGACAGGAGAAATCTCACACACATTTAACGAAAGCAGCAAACTTCAACAGAGAGAAAAATTTCCAACAACAGCGCTGGAATTTACCTTGTGGGAGACAGCCCTGCCCCCTGTTTTAGACTCAGCACTGCAGCTCACTAGGCTAATCCTCCGCCTTGTGGTCGGGGCGCCGGATTCTGTCCTGATTGCTCCTCTTCCAGTCCAGCTCTCTGCTGTGGCCAGGGAGTGCAGTGGAGGATGGCCCAAGTGCTTGGGCCCTGCACCCCATGGGAGACCAGGAGAAGCACCTGGCTCCTGGCTTCAGATCAGCACAGTGTGCCGGCCGAAGCGCGCCGGCTGTGGCGGCCATTGGAGGGTGAACAAATGGCAAAAAAGGAAGTCCTTTCTCTCAGCCGCAGTCAGAAACTTGAAACAGGAGTGGTATAATTCTTGGAACAGGAAGTGAGTGGAAAAACCTGAAAATGAATTACCTCAATTACCTCAGCGCGGCCAAAAATCTCGTTCCCTTCCACATTTCCTTCCTCCAGTAACTCCACACTTCCTTCAGCCAATAACAGCTCGCTGGCTTGTAAAGAGGGGAGGAGGGGCGGTGGGGTGCTTAACTACCAGCCCTGGCACGCCTCTGAGCTGACACTCTTAAAGAGGGGAGGAGGGAAGGTGGGGGGTGCTTAAATACCAGAGCTCGCACGCCTCCGAGCTGACACTCACTCAGGGATGGAGCTGCTGTCCGGGCACCGCTTCCCTTCCCTGCTGCTTCTACTGCTGCCTCTGCTGGCAGCTGGGCTCCGGGCGCCGGCCGGTGAGTGCTTTCAGGGCAGGGCACAGGGCAGGGAGAGAGGATGGGGACCTCCTCGCGGGCCTGCGCTTCTCTGTGGAGGCTTCTCCCAGAAGTCACAGGAGGAGGATGGGAGGGGGTGTGGAAACTGCTGGAGTCCCAGCCCCGTCCTGGGGAAGGTGGGCGCTGAGCCAGGGTGCACGCGGATGAGAGCGCACCCTGCCTGGAGGCGACTGAGGCCATCCCCCGACCCCGCCTGCAACCACAAACTCCCCTTCCAACCACCAGCGCCTACTTGCTATGGCACCTCTCAGCGCCTACTTGCTGTGGCACCCCTCACAGCCTCATCCTGACACTTCCCTCCTGAGTTGCTGAGTCCCTGTGAGCCTCTGAGCCAGTCTCAGCAGGGGACCAGGAACAGCGGGCTTCCACCCATCTGTCCCTTTGACTTCTCCCCTACCTGATGGCAATGGTGATGGCGCCTATCCCCTGCCTGAGGCCGCCCCAGGCAAGCACACCCCCAGCCCAGGACCCTGAGTCGAAGGAGTGGGGACACCATCCCCCCACCCCCAACCTGTGTTCAGGCACCTTCTCCTGCACTTTCCCTGGCAGCTGGGAGGCAGCACTGTAGAAGATGAGCTCACCTCGGGGTGAGTGGTGCTGCCTCCTGCTGGTGTGAAGGGACAGGCTCCCTGCTCCTGCACCCCACCAGGAGTTCCTCACAGGTGAGGGGCACGTGTGGCTGCAGCTCAGGAAACTGAAGTTCTGGGCTCGAGTTCTGTGATTTACCCAGGACCAGCATCCACGGGATGCGCGTGGAGGTCTGCGGTTCCTGGTGATGGATGTTGGAGTCCTCGTGTGCTCATTCCCCGAGTTACCCAGGCTTTTCTACAACCAGAGTCCTGCAGTAAAAGCTGTTGCTGTCTCTCACTGTAAACCTGTGACTGCCTTGACCTTTCCTGAGAAAGTTTCCTCTCCTCTCACTGGGTCCCGCTCAGTGCTGCTGTTTTCAGTCCTCGTCTGGACAGGAGATTTGGCCTCAGGTGCGGGTAGGGGAGGTGGTCATCATCCAGCCACTGTGCTAACTGCTTCTGCCAGCTTCTTCCCGGTGTGTGGTGTCAGCCCTGGTTGGGTTCACGTAGGAGCATGTGTGCGTGCACTCAGGTGACAGGTGCACTCCTGTATGTCCACCTGTCTGTTCACACTCTTCTCTGTAGGACCCCCCAGCTGACTGATCTGCCCTGATCGCCCACTCCTGCCATACTCTGGAAACCGTGTTTCTCAATGCTTCCCTCCTATGCACACCTGTCTTGGTCTTTCTTTTGCCTCTTGGAGTCAGTTCGGCTAGAAGCTCGGAGAAGACAGTGGCTGTCCAGGGACCACCCACACCAGGCTTCCCCTGCTGCTGCCTGGGCCAGCATCGTCTGCGCCAGCTTTCTGGAATGTCCATGTGGTTTGCACTTTCTTATCACGTGGTGTCGGAGTTTCTGTTCAGATGCGTTTGAGCTTAGGTACTGTGTATGCTTACACAGGACTCCTGTCACCAGCCCCCTCCGAGTCTAGTGGGCCATGCCGAGGACCCTGTGTACTTGGTCAGAGAACCTGAATTACAAGGAGCACAGGTGGCAGAAAGTTGGGAGCCAGTGATGGAGTTGCAATGGCGGGAATTGATTTCCATGCGTCCTATCCCTGCCCTTCAGGTGGGCTCCTTAGACTTGGAGCTGGGGGAGAGGTTGAGTGTGAGTCCTTTTTCATCCCCACACCTCACTCGTGTTTCTCTTCCACAGATGCTCACTCCCTTTGCTACAACATAACTGTCAATCCCAAGGCCAGACCCAGACAGCAACGGTGTGATGTTCAGGTTCACGTGGATGACAGGAGGATTCTGCACTGTGACTGCAGCTTCACTCAGATCAGCTTTTTGACCCCCTTGGGAGGGAAGTGGATGCCATTGACAACTGGGCAGAGCAGACAGAAATGCTGTGAGACGTGGTGGACACCCTCAACCAGCAAGTGGCTGAAATGAAACATTCCACAAGCAAGGGTGAGCCTGAAAGTCCCTGGGCAGAGGGCAGGTTTGTGAACCAGGACTGAGGATTTCCACGTGCAGAACTGGACAATGCGCTTCCTTTGGAGGCCCAGCGACAAGGTGGAGAGGTAGGACATCAGGGCGAGGCGATGAAAAGGGGACGGGAATGCAGGATCCCAGGTGGGGCAGAGGGTCTGTCAAGACTGATCTGGGCACGGGGACTTCCTTATGTTTCTGTGAAGTTGCAAGTTGGCCCCACTCAAGTGCCCCAGGAGGAAGTGCAGGATGCAGAGGACAGAGCAGGGCCAGGAGATACCAGAGGGACGGTTGGGAGAAGTGGATCCCAGGTGGGGCAGAGGACCTGTCAAGACTGATCTCTGACAATGTCTTTCCAATGGGGGCAGATCCCCCGAGCTTGCAGGGCAGGATGTGCTGCTGGCATGGAGCCAGCGGCGGCAGGCACGGGTCTTGGCAGTTCAGCTTCGGTGGACAGATCGGCCTCCTCTTTGACCCAAACGCCAGAAAGTGGACAGAGGTTCATCCTGGGGCCAGCTGGAATAAGACGACCTGGGAGAATGACAGGCAGCTGACTGACAAATTAAGCAGGGTGTCCATAGGAGACTGCCCAAGGTGGCTGGGGAAATTCTTGTTGCCCTGGAAGGTGATGTCGGAGACTACAGGTAACTAGGGATGGGGTGGCGGGAAGGGGTGCTCTCTGGAGATGAGATGACGCCACCGTAGTGTGTGCATGCAAGGTGTGGGTGCTGTGTGCATGTGAGTGTGCTGTACCGGGGTGTGTGTGCATGCCAGGATATGGGTGTGTGTGCATGTAAGGGTGTGGATGCTGGTGCGTGTGGTGTGGGAATGTGGGTGTGTATGAATGAGAGTGTGGGTGTGACGATTTATGTGTGCTGTGTGAGCCTGTGAGTGTCCTGTGCTGTGTGTGTGCCAGGGTAGGGTGCTGTGTGCAGGTGTGTGTGAGCCTGAGTGTCTGAAAACATGATCCAGTGTGATGTGCCCCTCCCTATGACAACAGCAGCATCCACCGCTGTGCCTTCCCTCACACCTCTCCTCCTCCTCCTGCTCATCTCTTCCTCACGGTGTGTATTTCAGTCCCCTTACATGCCCTCCTGCTGGCATCCACCCGTGCCTGTCGCTGTTTCTAGACCTTCTCCCATCGCCATCCCCTCTTCCTAGAATACCAGTTCTCCCATTTCTCTGCTCTCTCTCTTTGGTCCTTCAGAACCATCTCCAGGTCCAGCTCCTGCCCCCCTTCCTGGCCACCACCCAGGAGGGATGGTCTGCATGGTCACCCTGGCTTCCTCTCTGGCAGATCTTTCCCATCCTCCCTCCGTGCTACTCCAGGACCTGTCACAGCAGCTGCTCAGTATAGGTGCCAGCTGTGTGCACGGCTGCCTTTAACAGGAGCAGGAGCTGGAAGGCCTCTCCTGGGGTTTGGAGTCTGGATGGGGGCCTCCAGTCTTCTGCTTCCATTTCAGCGCGGCCACCCACAACCTTAGGAGTAGTTGCATCCAAGGCCACGGCCACCATGCCCATGCCCTGGGCCTTTCTCCTGCTCCTCACCAGCTCAGTCCTCCTTCTCGTGCAAGGGGAGCCATTCTGAGTGACAGGTATGGAGGGCAGCATTGGGAGGGAAGCAGAGGGCAGATGGGATTGGCTGGGATGATGGCAGAGGGAATTCCCCAAGTCCAGTCCTGTCCCCTGGACTGCACTGTCTCATTCTGGAAATGAGACGAGGAAATCAGTCCTCATGTCCCTCAGTAGCATTAACTGGGACCAGCTCAGCCCTGAGTTCTAATGAATTCTCACTGTCAGGAGCCAGCCTGGTGGAGGGAGGGAGGGGGGCCCTTTCCTACACCAGGTTCAGCAGCTGGTTCATGGCCTGTGGGTTGAAGAAGGCTTAGCCAGCTCAGGATTGTGTAGCGCAGATTCAGGGCCCAGTCACGGGATATTGGGGCACAGGAACACAGGCACAGGGTTTGTGGGCAGCAAGCAGCATGGACGCTCCACTCGAGGAGTCGTTGTCAGAGATTCCATCCTCAAAGCAAAGAGGATGCTGACCCCTTCCCAGGATGAGGGGTGGGAAGGATTTTGTAACCCAGCTCCTAAGGCAGAGGGCAGGGCGTTCCTGGTACCAGAGAACCTGTAAAAGGTCTTGGTCCCCCTGCAGGAAGAGAACTCTGGGATGCTCCAAGGTTAAAATGAACTAGCAAGGTCTGTTGTAAGCAAAGTCAACTCTCAGGGCAGGAGAGCGGGTGGGCAGGTGTACAGCATCTGTGCTGAGAATCTGAGGAAGATTCCTTCTTTATTGCATCTGGGGGGTGGAGAATTCCTGAGATGGGAGGAGGACTCTAGGAGTAGTCGGGGCTGTCCTGGAGCAGGGCATCACCTGTCTTTTCTCTAACCAGGGCCTCTCCCATCTGTGATGCTGGAATCAACCACAGTGACCGCACTGCTGACATGACACTGCCTATCTGGGACATTCACCACTGGGTGCCTTTGGAGTTGTTGGGCCATGGAAAGTGCTTGCAGCCCTTTGGGCCTCTCGGCTCCGCTCATATGGAGTTCTCTTCAACTACAGCTCCCATACCCAGGGACTCTGGCCCCTTCCTTCTTCTACTGGGAAACAGGATGAGCTCTGTCTCCTGTGACCTCATCAGGCTGAGTAAGGATGTAGGCACTTCCTAGCCCAGGAGTCCAGATTCCATGCTGAGTGGTCCAGAGTCTTTATATGGAAGCGTTAGGCTTGAGGGAACAAGGGAAGTCCTAGGAAACTTGGTCGAAGAGACCCTTTTATTTTTTAAGCTTTGTATCATTGACACCTGGAATAGCCCAGTTTAAGATCCAAGTTATAAAGAGAAACACGGAATATAAGGAGAGAGACTGCAAGCAGCCATGCCAGTGAGAGTTTGTATCCAGACTGCAAGACACTGCCTGTGCCCTCCTTCTCGTGTTAGTTTTTTACCATTTTGTTTTTATGTATTGATTCTGTATTTTAACCTGTCATGAGCCATTAGCCCAAGTTCAGTAACACTGGTGCTATGACTTGGATCCCATCTCTTCACTAGGTGTGCTTGCCATTCCCTGTTCAAACTCTGGCCCAGCGACACAATGCAGCACACTCCACTGTGGGAGATCCCGTGAGACTGCCTGCCTAGCCCATGCAGTTATCTGAGTGCTGGCAGGCCCAGGAGCCCCAGGAATGTTTCCCCCAGTCCTGCCTCTGCCAATCAGGTAAACCGCTCCTGGGTGTGGCCCAGGCCCACCTGGAAAGCTAGGAGCCTATGTGACCTTCAAGCTGATTGAGAAGCATAGTGGCACCAATACCACCTTCAGCTATAGAATTAGTGCTGCCCTGAATCGGTTATGTGCCCTCTGCCTGCCCTTTACAAGGTGTGCTTGGTGTTAATAAAGCTGTCGTGTGCCCTGAAACTTGTCTCCGGTGTGTCTTATGGAAGAGGGCTGCTGCCCTACCCATGCAGACAGTGTGCGGGACTCCCAGGATGAGCCCGCCACTGGCACCCAATGTGAGGTGTGAACGCAGGTGCAGGCCCACAATGCCTGTCTGCTAGGTGAAGAGGGTACCTCTGTCTCCTTCTAGGGACTGCAGACACATTCGTTGGCTCCCCATGTGGACATGGTTAATAATGGCTGGCCAAGGTTTCTAACTTTACTTATCTTTCTACCTCCACACTGTCCCTTATGTGTGCACTGTGTTTGAGCACCATCCCAGGAAGGAAGCTCCCATGGGGATAGTGAGACTGCCCTGGGCACCTGGTCGCAGCATGGGACCTGGATCAGAGAGTGCACGCTACTCCATCCCTGCAGGCTGGGCCTTCCAGCTGCTCCAGGGAAGCTGGACAGGGAGCCCTGGGGGATGCATGCCAGGGGGAGGGGTGCATTCTTAGGGAGCCTAGGTGAAATCTGAAGCCCCAGACTCCTCTCTCCCCAGTTTCAGGCTAGCTTGGGTTCCTTCCAGGACAGAGCCACTCTCAGAACACCCACCTGGCTTTTTAAGGGCTTGGCCTCACCCTGCCAGAGGAAAAAGCGAGGCTGCTCTGTGGCTTGTAAGCTTTTCTATTCTAAGCAAGCTCTCTAGGATGGATCATTTGCATTAGCAGCTTTCATTTACATTTTGACAAATTTATATTTTGATGGGATTCAGGATTTTGCCAACGTTGGACTGAAAAAAAAAATTAGTGTGACAACATAGGAGATGGTATATCAAATAGACCCCAAGGGCCGACAAATGTATTTTGAGCAAGTCAGTGTGTCTCAGAATGGCAGATACAATAAGAATTGAGTTTATTGTTTTAGAATCAGCAGGAGAAGCAGAAAAATGACAACGGATCTTAAGACCACATTGCCAAGGGAGGGAAGTTGAAAACTATTGATGTTGGTGGATAGCAAATGCTGAACGTAGCAGCACCATAGAGGGAAAATGAGGGCAAACATAACTGGTTGGACTCCTGCATGCACACGGGCAATCTAATATGGAATGGTTGGGCGCGGTTCCAAGGTGGCAGAATAGGGAGGGAGCTTACTGATCTAGTCCAGGAGATGATAATACAAAAAGTGGAGATAGTATAGTCTCAAGGAAGAGCTAGGGACAAAACAGCAGAGGAAGCTATTCTGAAATTAAGGGACATGATGGACCTACGTGGAGGGTGTGGGCACCCAGAGCTCGGGACTCCAGCTGCTGAGTGCCTCTGCACCAGCGCTGGAAAGTGAGGTGAGGTGAGACCGCAGTAGCTGGAGACACTGGCAATAAGGCAGCAGGGGGGGCTGGCGCTGTGGCTCACTTGGTTAATCCTCTGCCTATGGTGCCGGCATCCCATATGGGCACCGGGTTCTAGTCCTGGTTGCTCCTCTTCCAGTCCAGCTCTCTGCTGTGGCCTGGGAGTGCAGTGGAGGATGGCCCAAGTGGTAGGGCTGCTGCATTCGCATGGGAGACCAGGAAGAAGCACCTGGATTCTGGCTTCATATTGGCACAGCTCCGGCCATGGTGGACATTTGGAGGAAGATCTTTCTCTCTGTCTCTCACTGTCTATAACTCTACCTGTCAAATAAATTTTAAAAAAGTGGCAGGAAGTGCCTAGAGGGAATGAGGCTTGAAGCCCTGTGGGGGAAAGTATACCAGCCTAACTAGAGGAGAGAAAAAATAAAAGGCATAGTACGGACACGTTTCTCTCTCTCTGATCACCTCACAAAGGCATACAAGCCGATAGAGCAGGCACCACTTTGGACATACGTAAGAGCTGTGCCAGCTTGTGTCTGTGCCTGGCAATCAGCTGAGTGTAGAAACATGACTCTTGTGGGGACTGACTCTGGTGGGGAGTAATAACAGGAGGCTAAGACCTAGTGACTGTGTGGAACTTCTGAACCAGTATTATGAAAAAACAAAAACAAAAAAACAAACTGAGGGTTTGTGTATCAGAACTCACGGTGTGGCTGTGACTTTGAGTAGTCTTGGTAGGGGACGCCACAAGCTCAGGGAGTCCTGGTTACTCAGTGAAAGACATTGGGGAATCTGAACTTACACTGAGGACTACACAGATCCTTTATGTGGTCCTTGGGACAGAGCAGACGAATATTACACCCACTGGGGCTAGCACTCAGGCACTGGTCTCCATTGAGAAGAGCTCAGCTGAGCACAATTACTTCCCTTCAGATTAAAAAAAGAGAAGATTTATCATGCCAAACCTGAGTGTGTCACCTTAGGCACACCCTTAATCCTGGAGAACTGAACACAGCTCTCTAGCCACACCCACTACAAGCCTCTAGAGATTCAGTGAAGGCAGACAGTCACTTATCTACAGAGTCATAGTACAACAAGTATCGCCACAAATGCTGAACAACAAACACAACAATACAAGAAATAAGAATACGAAAGACAACATGACACTCCTAAAAGAACAAAATACTTCAATACAAGATTATGAAGATGATGAGATAGAAGAAATGCAAGAAATGGAACTCAAAAAATTGATGATATGATACTTAGAAGTAATCAAAAGCAAACACACGAACTACAGAAATCCATGCAGGACACGAAAGAAACTCTCTCTCATGAAATTGAAATCTTAGAAGGAATCAAAACGAAATGAATAATTCAATAGAATAAAAAAGGCACTTGAGATCCTTAAAAACAGAATTAGAGGCCAGCACCATGGCTCACTAGGTTAATCCTCCCCCTGTGGCACTGGCAGCCCGGGTTCTATTCCCGGTTGGGGCGCTGGTTCTGTACCGGTTGCTCCTCTTCCAGTCCAGGTCTCTGCTGTGGCCCAGAAAGCAGTGGAGGATGGCCCAAGTGCTTGGGCCCTGTACCCACATGGGAGACCAGGAGGAGGCTCCTGGCTGCTGGCTTCGTAGCGGCGCAGTGTGCCTGCCGTAGCAGCCATTTGGGGAGTTAACCAACGGAAGGGAGACCTTTCTTTCTGTCTCTCTGTCTCACTGTCTAACTCTGCCTGTCAAAAAAAAAAAAAAACCAGAATTATTTAGGCAGAGGAGAGACTATCGGACTAGAGGACAGAGCACAGGAAAATATACAGTCAAACTGAAGAGAAAAAGAAGAAATTAGAAACCTAAAAAATATCATTGTGAATCTATGGAATACTATTAAAAAACCCAACATTCAGGTTCCAGGAGTTCCTGAAGGCATGGAGAGAGAGAAAGAAGGATTAGAAGGCCTTTTTAGCTACTAGCAGAAAACTTCCTGCCTTGGAGAAAGAAGGAGACGTCCAAGTACAGGAGGCACACAGAACTCCCAATAGATATGACCAGAAAAATCCTCGCCATGACACATTGTAATCAAACTCAGCACAGTGAAACATAAAGAAAGGATTCTAAACTGTGCAAGAGAGAAACATCAGATTACTCTCAGAGGATCTCCAGTTAGACTCACAGCAGACTTCTCATCAGAAACCCTACAGGCTAGGAGAGAATGGTGAGACATAGCCCAAGTACTAAGAGGAAAAAAACTGCCATCCCAGAATATTATATACTGCAAAGCGCTCATTTTGTGAATGAAGGTGAAATAAAGACCTTTCAAAGCAAAAAGAAATTGAAAGAATTTGTCACCATCCATCCAGCCCTGCAAAAGATGCTTAAAGATGTGTTACACACAGAAATACAGAAAATGATCATCAATACCAAAGAAGGTAAAGGAAGAAAATCTCTCAGTAAAAGACTACAGGAAGTT